AGAGAGAGAGAGACAGAGAGAGACAGAGAGAGAGAGACAGAGAGAGAGAGACAGAGAGAGAGAGAGAGACAGAGAGAGAGACAGAGAGAGAGAGACAGAGAGAGAGATTTTTAGAAAACCTTTATTTTCTTTGAACATGTTTCTTTATCATTTAAGACGGTTAACAAAATAAAGTCCAACAAACATAAATGTGTCTTTGATTGTCTTTAGACTGTGAGATCTTTTCCTCACTGAGCTCCATCTTTGTTCAGCTCTTTGTTCATTTTGTGAACTATCTTCTTCAGTCTGAAGCCTTCCTGCTTCGTGAGACCTCCTCTGTCCTTGCTCCTCATGTGAGCTCTGGCAGAGCTGGAGAGCTTCTCTTTGTCAGAGAGGTAGTCCTCCACTTTGGCTCCTCTCACATTCTTACTCCTCTTCAGAAACTCCTTTATCTTCTCCACGCTGTAGCCTCCAGAGCTCCTACAGCTGCCAGCACCGTGTTTAGAGGGCTCACTGTCAGCAGCAGCGCCCTCCTCCTGACTGGACTCAGAGTCCTCCTCCTGACTGGACTCAGAGTCCTCCTCCTGACTGGACTCAGAGTCCTCCTCCTGACTGGACTCAGAGTCTTCCTCCAGACTGGACTCAGAGTCTTCCTCCAGACTGGACTCACACTCTGCTGCTCCTCCACTTTCTTTAGTTGCCACTTTCTTTGCCTGTGAGCTTCCGCTGTCTCCTCTCTGTTTCCTCTTCAGCTGAGGGGCTTTGAGCTGCTCCTCGTCTGCTTCCATGTCCACCTCACCACCTGTCTCCACCTGTCCTCCAGTACTCTCCCTCACCTGCTGGACCTCATTTTCCCCGTCCTTCCTCACCTCTTGACCCCACTTGTCCTGTCTTCTCTCACCCCCTGAGCCCCACCCGTCTCCTCCACCCTCGCTTCCTGTGCTCCACTTGTTCCCTCCTGTCCGTCCTGCTTGTCCCCTCTGCCCTCCTCAGTACCTTTCTGGTTCTGGTCTTTGTTTGAGCCGTGTTCCCCAGGACAAGCTCTGCTCAGATGTCCTTCTTTCCCACAACTGTAACATTTAAAATCATTAGTCTTTGCAAAGAGGACGTATTCAAAGTCCTCTACTGTGATTTTGAAACTGAGGTTGACCACTCTGCTCCTGTTGTTGGGGATCATGAGGACGTGTCTCCTGTGAGACACCACGTGCTTTAACAGCGGAGACTTAAAGCCAGAGGACACTCTCCTAACCGGAGACACCGCTTTCCCATGTTTGGACAGCTCTTTGATTATTGCATCGTTTCTTATGAATGGTGGCACGTTGGACACGGTGACTTTCACTTCCGGTGAGCTGAGAGGATACGTGGGCAGGAAGTGTTCACCCACGGAGATCCCGGTCATCAACACCACTTCCGCAGTTTTTATGGTGTCTAGAAAGATGACCACAGCGCTGTTCATCCGTGCTGTGGACTTCACGCGGCTGTGACCGACAAGCTCCCCCACTGCCAGGCTGATTCCTCCACTGAACACCCGTAACGCGGCGGGATCTTCACGCCGTGTTCCCTGGTTAACTCCGTCAGGCCCATGGTGGCGTTTAGCAGCCGACAGCACGCGCTGATCGACTGCAATCCGCTCACAAGAAAGACCCAAAAAACAGCTAAAAGTACACAAAAACCCCCGTAAACCCTGCACACCCCACTACACTATCATATACAACATTACACAGTGAAGAAAAATGTCAAAAAATCGCTATTAATCGCTCCGCCAACTCCGTGCTCCTTCCACTCAGAGAGAGAGAGAGAGAGAGAGAGAGAGAGAGAGAGAGAGAGAGAGATTCTCTGTGACAGATTCAAACAGCAGCTGTTTCATGAGGGCCAATCAGATAACAGAGTGATGTGACCTCACCGATACGAGATGATCTCCTTCAGGTGATTGGTCAGCAGCTTCCCTCCTACGTTGACCCTGGATGGGAAAATAAACCATGTTATTATATGTGGTACTGGTGCAGCGGTGCATGCTGGTCGTTGTAGTCCTCTGACCTGCGGATGCCCTCCTTCATCTTCTTGCTGCGACAGTAAGGAGCGATGTGAGTGAAGGAGAAGCCGCTGTCCACCAGCAGACAGCAGAGCTCTGAGGGCTGAGAGCTGAAGTAGTGATGAGCAGACAGAGAGCCGGCTGGAGGAGCAACACAACCAACAACAGCTGCTGAGGACCAGCGGACCCGGTATCAAACCCCCGACCCCACAACAGTAATCTAGATCATTATCTTATTATCTATGAAGAGGAAGTAAAAATCCTCAGGGGTCAAAACAGGACTTCATTCTTTTAGATTTGTGTGAAATGGTGATAATAAGCATTAGAACTCTTTGTGAGGTCACGAGAACCGACGGACAGAAAACATGACGTCACATCATTTGTTCCGTTTGCTCTGAAACAAATCTGTGACCAACGTACTTCAGATAATTACCTCTATTATCACATGAACATTCACACTTTCATAAAGTCAGGATTTATTTTTGAATCAGTGGAAAACACAAACATTGTGTTTATTAAATATAGTTATATAGTTCTTCTGATCATACTGTATGCATTTCCTCTCATATAATGAAATGATGAGAGAATTCTATAAACATGTTCACACATCAAACACTAAAGTATTTGTGCTGAAACAAGCCCAAAAGAAAAACTTCGACCAAAAGACGTTTTCATTTTCAGTTTGGTCACAAAAGAGTTAAACAGGCGACTCCAGTGATGTCACTCGAGTCGCCGTGGAGTTAGAAAGACGGGACCAGCTAGCACAGTTGCATCGTGGGTAATGTAGGCGCCACGTTTTGACAAGGAAGAACAATGTGTGGAATCAAAAGAAGATGTTTCTGGTTCTGCTGCATCGATTTTAATCCTGTTTTCTCCTCCAATCAGAGGAGCCGAGGGGTCAGGGGTCACACTCACCGTTTATTCTGAGAACCGACTGGAACTGGTACTCCTCAAACAGGATCTCATTCATCGACTCCTGGATGGAGGAGAAGTTGAAGTACGGCTCAGTGATGATGATGCTGGTGTCTGAGAAGTCCACCTGGGGGAGGAGGAGGAGGAGGAATTAGATCCAGAATAACAAACACTAGAAGCTTCTGTGAATAGAACTCATTAAAATAAAGTAGAAACCTTAAACATCTCTTTTCCAAACAGGTGATCCCAGACTTTCCTCTGGACGTCCCAGTTCACCAGATAACCCTGAAGGAGGAACAAGAGGAGGATCAACAGGAGGAACAACAGGAGGAACAATAGGAGGATCAAGAGGAGGATCAACAGGAGGAACAACAGGAGGAACAA